GGCTAAGCCTAATTCGGCCTCTAACATGGTGAATTAGAACCGGGCAGAACAGGGTATACCTTAACTTCAATTCTGGAAATTTGCTACAATCAAGGTATAAATCTCATTTTTAGCTTGAAACCATCACTACCACCTCTTATACCAACTTATATACATCATATACCACCCATACAACAAGTATGATAAGTGAATCATTCAAACCCTAACTCAAATTCATCACCCCAACCATCTAAAATCACTTGATATAAGCATTACAACCACAAATACAAGCTACTAAGCAACTCCAACATGATTAAGGAAAAAGAAAAGAGTGGTCAGCCATATTACCTCAAAAACAAAGCTTGCTTTCTCCCAAAATAGCTCCACTCCAGCCCACCTTTCTTCCTTGTGGTAACTTCTTATGAATTGGTTTTTGGATTAGAGAGTGATTTCCTACTAGTTATAGCTTGGAATCAAGGTGAAATTGGAGCAGTTTTTCTTTCTTTTGTTATCTTGAAGGTTCGGCCAAGAGAGATCAAAATGAGGGATGGTTGGTGAAATTTGCAAGATAAGGACTAGAAGTTTCATTGGTCAAAGAATGCCTTGACAATGTCAACCCTTGGCTTTCCCTCAATTGTCCTTTATTTTGGCTTCTTTTCCTTTCTTTTCTAGTCAAGGATTTCGGCTACCCTTAGCTAAAATGGAATCAGAATTTCGGCCATCCTTAGCTGAAATGAAATCAAGAATTTTGGTTGAAATGGAAACTTACTCCAAAGTACTCCAAAGTAAAGACAAGACTAATGTTAGTCAAGATCTTGGTCCAAAGTTAGGTAGTTGATTGAGACTTGTGAAGACAAGACATAATGTCTATTTATTGACCAAAATATCTCTTCTTTTCTCCTTCAAGAATCGGCCAAGACAAGGAAGAAGTGAAGGAAAAATGGTGATGAAAATGATAGCTTAGTCTTAGTCAAGTTTTTGTCAAACTTTGTAGGCTTGTTGACCATTGGCAATAAAATGAGAAATGTCTATCCCTTTGTCTCCCTTATTTATTTATTTTTTTTAGTATTTCTAATCACATACTTAATATCATCTAAAATTCACTATTAATCACCAAATTTTATCGCATTAGTGGGTCCCACGTCTATAATGCGTTTCAAATTTGACATACACTAACTCATACTAGGAAAATGATTTTAAAACTGTACTTGCCTGTAAAAATGCATAGAAATTTTAATATTTCCAAGGAAAGTATAAAATGTAGGCAAAGAAATAAAATAATGTTGAGAAAATATGAAAATTTTTGGGTTCCACACTCTCTCCCCCTTAAGAAATTTCGTCCTCGAAATTTTTACCTTCCGTTGCCTCAAATGACCCCGGAACTTGTTGCTAGTCTACGGCATAAACCTGTGCTGGTATTTTCATTCGGTTCCCTCTTTCATTAGTTTGTTTTGATTTGATTCCTTCCACTTGTTGCGTACTACTCTCTCGTGGCTGTTCCTTCGAGCAAGTGCTAAGTTGATGATTGCTAATCCCACAAATCAAACACTTTCCCCCTTTTCACCAGCAATCATTCTCAGTGTGATTTGCCTTTCCACAGTATCCACATGCCAATCGAGGAGCTACTGTTTGACCTTCTCGAGAAATTTCCTTTGATTCGATCTGACTTCCTTTCGTAAACCCTTCATCTAATGCTCCTAATGTCCATGGTGGGTAGGGTAAAGGGTTCACTTTCTGCACTTTGGAAGGTGCTATCGATTCACTTGGTTCCTCAGTCACACTACCAGGTGCACCCCTTTTCCGAGTTTGGGAGGCTTTTATCTGTGCCTTCGCAGCCTCAATTCTTTGGGCTTTCTCAAGGGCTTCCGTGAAAGTATTAACTTGAATCGCCGCTAGAGCTTCTTGAATTTCTAAATTCAATCCCTGTATAAACCGCTCACCCTTCTTTGTTCCGTGGCCACTAATTCGGAAGCAAACTTAGACAATTTGGTAAATTTCGTTTCATATTCGGCCACACTTTGAGTTCCTTGGCGTAATCCAATAAACTCATCCTCCCTCCTTTCTTGGACTAAAGGTGGGAGATACTTTTCGTTAAATTCTCTTAAGAAGTTAGCCCATGTCCATACGGTTTGTTCTCTTTCCCACTTTGCCTTAATCACGTTCCACCATGCTCGGGCCGGTCCTTCAAATTGAAATATCGCAAAGTTCACTTGTCTTTGTTCGTATAGTTTAAAACTGTAAAGATGTTGATCATGACCTCCAACCACTGTTCATCTATGTCCGGATCAGGCCCTCCAAGGAATTTCGGAGGGACAAATTTTTGAAACCTCTCAAGAGCCCGATCTTCTCCTATCTCAGGGTTCTAGGATTGATTCACAGGCATTTGACCTTGTTGGTCCACCAATCTTGCTAAAATATTTGTCATTTGTTGTATAGCCGTCGCCATTTGGTCCCTGGCTTCAACCCTCGTTCCTCGTTCTAGCTCAGCTATTGTTTCCCTTTTGTCTCTTGGCTCTAGAGCTCGCTTAGTCCCACGACTACGACCACGACCACGACCACGTCCACGTCTCCCTTCCATACCCTTTTCTCTCTCTCTCTCTCTCTCTCTTTTCTTTTTCAAAAGTAATTTAATGGATAAACGGAGTAAATTAACTAAAATAACAAATTCGAACACACCAATTATACAAATAAACATAAACACGACATGATACAACATATACACAAAGAGACATATCAAGTTCAACAGATAATCAAAAGTAGTCAATATTACACAGGTAACATACCACAAACAAAAGTCATGTAATAACATTACAAGGGCCAATCAAAAGAAAAGGCGATATATCATCCCATACGCAGTTAAGATAACCCCGTCCGGTCTCTCACATCACTTTCTATTCAAACTAAACGTCCGTTGACTTCTTGTACTCATTCTAGTCAAACAAAGCCTGTTAATGTTTCCAAACTGCAAGTTTTAAGCACTTAGTACCGCTTCAACTCTGGAGTACTCGGGCACTAGAATCCGAAATAAAATAATTCACATCTCGAGCTGGCCAGTCCCAAGAGTAAACTATTTACAATCGAGATTCCTATCTGACATACCTATCAATGGTCCTCAAATACTGGGAGAAAGATTTAAGACCTATAACAATTCATGACTCCATAGTTTAAGCTCAACGAGCACTTAATCCTTCATACTCATTCACCACTTAACCCGATCTCACTCCGCGCAGAGACCACGCGAAACAGGCTCTGATACCAACTGTGACGGCCCCACCTTCCCCTAAGGCAAACCAAAGGATTTGGCGGACCGCCTGCCCAACTCTCGTTGGAACTCAGTCATTCACCTCAAGGAATTGAAGATAAAATTTACAAAACAAGCGAATAACGATCCCAAACTTAAAACATAAACTTATATACATTCCAATCTCCAAAGAAATTACAAAATTTAAATATACAAAGGTTCCCAATTTCTCATTCATCCAACCCTTGCCAAGTACTAGGGCGAGAACCATTACAAAAAAATTCAAAGAACTAGACTAAATTAGTCTATACAGAGCTCTCATCCTTGCTCGCATCCCTTGTTAAGCAAAACAAAACTAACGGAATGAGTTAAAAGGTCAGTGAGGTTCCAAACATATAAACAAACAATGAGTTCAATACATTGACCATAGATAACAAGTAATTCAAGAAACATGACAATATAAAGCAATAATAACATTCATTAAAAGGATACGTGCTCACATAGATCCATTCATTCATTCATTCTCCTTTCATTTCCTTATTCCTCCAATCGTTTGAAAATGCATTTTGATAAGCAAAACCCTTCATTTACATTTACATTCATTCATTCATTTCATTTCACCCTCTCCTGGACGTTGGTCAGGCTCCACCAGACTATAAGGTAATACTCGAGTATACCAAACGTTCACCCAGGGTCACTAAATCGCCCGACCGAGTCCGCTTCTGGCTTGAGTCGATCAGTGACGAAGGGCAAGGCCCAATTCAGCCAAGAGGCTTACATTCATGCATATATAATCATTCAATCATTGAAAATTTTACATTCATTTAGGTCGAGTGCGATAAAGTACACACTCGCCTAGAAAGTTCATTTTAAGCAATCAGTGGAAGCATTTAACATGTTATTATTCATTCATAACAAGTCATATAATCAAGAACAAGCCACATAGTCAATGAAAATATAGCCAACAAGGAACACTCACCTATTTAAGCAAAATAACGTCTAAAGTTTCTTTCCGGATAACACCCTCAATCACCAAGGAACCCTAATATAATCAAAAGAACACATTATACTTCAACCATCAAAGATTTAAGTGATTCAAAGAAAATTCGAATACGTACTAGTACAAGGTATAAATATGGTTTTGGTAGTGAAAAGAGTGCATTTAAACCAAAGGACATAAGTAAAATATTTGTAAAACTTATGCTCACTCGTAAAACTTTAAAATCTCCATTTGAGTCGAAGTGACAAAGAAAACGTATTTCTATTAGTCATAAATTTCATTTTTCTAAGGGTACAAGTTTCGGCCAAATTCTAACTTATATACCTCAAAAAAAATGCAAATATCTTAGATGGTTCAAGTGGTATTCGTTCTCAAATCCTTACGCAAGTCGCAAATATATCTACCTAGTTCTTGAGCATAAATTTGGGCAGCACGCCCTTTGTATTTACCTATTTTCCAGCCATTTGTGACTTCATTCTTTTCCGCAATTAGTCCTAAAGTCATACACAAAATCATCTCATTTCAATAGCCGTTCAATAGCCGGTCAATAGGCTCAAAATCATACAAGTACAATGTGACAGCCCCACCTCCCCCTAAGGCTAACCAAAGGGTTCGGCGGATTGCCTGCCTAACTCTCGGCAGGACTCACTCACTAACATTAATTTCAAAGATAACATTAACTCCAAAGTAAGAATGAATTTTCCCAATAAATATTACAAGCCATCCAACTTCACAAAAACTCCATACTTATGTATACGACTAAGCGAAATGAAATGCAAATAGTTCAATCACTTCTCTAAGTATAAATAGGATTGCAATTATTTAAAATACGGACTACAACTTTTGAATTCCTTATTCGTTGGATAGCAAATTAATAACGCTAAAATTCTTCAATATAACATCTACATGCTACCGATCATCCGAATATACAAACCAAAATACAGACCAAAAGATAAGAACTTGTAAACTAATACCATAATACAGTGCCGTCCAAATACAAGATTAAGATTTCCTATTACAACTAGCACTATTCTTATCCTTGTCATCCCCGTACCCTGTTAGGGAAAACAAATGAAGGGATGAGCTAAAAGCTCAGTGAAGTTCCAAGAGAACAACAAGCAATTAGGCATTTTAGTATTCACATGATAGCATGATCACATATTCCATAAAGAACATAACATCCAAACAACTCATTTAACTATGTACAACGGATAACACATGCATATAAAAGGATACAGTCTGTTCTCGGGAACAGGTTCCGTGACAACTTGTTCAGAATCTGTTGACACTCTGTCAACCATGGAATCATAATAAGTCCAGTAGATCACCACTTAACTCCAACCTCCATCCACCAATCAACCCCCTACCGGGCCTGAACTTCAAATATAAACAGTGGTGGTAATACTCGAGTATACCAATTAGTCGAGGAGATAACACTCCACTCGACAAAACAGTAGACCTAGGATTCGTTATTTAATCGACCAGGCTCTCGCCGGCTCGACTCGATTAACTAGTCTATGGGGTTTAGGATCCAGGCCGTTACTTTCAACTCATGAGCATGAATCTCAGTTCACTTGTAAACAATTCACTTATAGTAGTCAAACAGGAATTCAGCCAAGTTAGGTCGAGCGTGATAAAGTACACACTCACCTATGTAATAACAAGTCAATTCAAGTAACAAGTCATATTTGCGCAACAAGTAGCATGGAACTTATAGTTGGAACACTCACTAGTTCAAGCAAAAATAGCGTCAAAAGTTTCCTCCTGGATTGCCCCCTTGATCAGACAAGCCCTAAGAATAACCAAGTGAACAGAATTCATAATTTAGACTCGACTATGAGTCGTATACCTCTCCAAGTTAATTTAATTTTTTTTTCAAAACCCAACATACACAACCATATTTGGAATGCAAATCAAGGAAAAATTTAAGTATACTCTAGGGCAAAACTCAAGTAGGGGTTTGAAGCGTATGAGAGTAGTTTGGACTCAAGAAACATGATTAATCAACAAGTTCCTTATTCGCTTCATGGCGGGAAATTTTCCAGCGGCGAGCCAATGAAAGAAACAAGGTTTTCTCAAGTCAAGTCAGCGAGATTGTGTCCAAAAGACTTTCAAACTAAAGACGTTGAGGCTAAAAGGTAGCAAGGTGCAAAACTGCCCTCCAAATCAGAATTTTTCGCAGCCGTGAAACAAGTACAATCATGAGGTTTTCACCTCCCAATTTTCATAGTTTTCACTCAAATTCACACACAAAAAGGCTCCACCAAAGTTTGGAACAAGTTTTGGCCAAAATCAATTACTAAAAGATTAGACAAACAACAATGTAATAGGCTGCACTCTCCATCGACAAACAAGCACAATTTTTAGCCAGCAATTTGGAAGAAAATCCCAATGAAACCCTTCCATTTCAACCAAAATGCAATACATAAGGTTCGCTAAGCATATTAGGCAAGTACATCACCAAATCAGTCCAAAATCAAGGTAGTAAGCTGTCCCAAAATTTGGACAGCATAACTGTTTTATCCTATATTTCCTCTCCAAATTCAATACAAAATTTCATGGCCAAACCATCCAAATCAAGACCACAAATGATAGGCTATACAAGCTACTAGTTTCAGACCATAAAGCCACAAAAAATAGACAAGTATTCAGCTCACATATCTCATACCAAGGCTGGCCCGTCAAGCAAAAGTTCAACTCCACAAGCTTAAATTTCCATAAGCAAACTAATGGAACATATGCAAGCTGGAAAAATTACATGATATGGCTAAAATATATAGTACACATGATATTAGCATTTTAACACTCATTTTCATTTTCCTTAACTAAAACGGGAAATTTATTGCTTGGGACATGAAATATGTAAAAGTGAAGTTTTCACCTCTCAAAACCTTTCATTTTCTACTCCAATTCACTACTCATACCAAAGTTAATGTTTAATCACGTGTTTAGGACATTAACAAGTTGATTTCACCACACAAAATCAAGAATAAAGCTAAATAAAATCACTCTCTCTTTCAGTCAGCCTCAAGGAGAATTCCAGCCATGAAAATAGTGAAATAAATGGAGTTTAAATCACTTAAGGTCCATGGTTTTGGTTCATTTCCAACACATACTTGTAGTTTAAAGTCTTCTAGGGTGTTTCGAACAAATTGAGCTTAAAATCATCTTGAAAATTTAGCGATCAAAGCTAAAATTCCAGCAAGCATTCTTTCTTTAGAAAAATTATAACTTAAGTTATAAATGTCGAAAACTCATACAAATTATCTCATTTAAAACTAGACTTGAATACTAACAATCTTGAGCAGACATCTCAAGGAGATTTGGTTCATAAGTTAATCCAAATTGAGTCACAAGTTACCACAACATCCCAATTTTTACTTGTTCAGGACCGATTTTTCAGTTAACTTTGCTGATTTTCTGGTGCATATATAAAATGAACCACAGCTCCAATTTTATACCATTGGAAAGATCTATGAGTCTAGTTTCAAACGCAATTGACGGTATTCAATTTTGATTTTTCTACGCTAAGTTATGATCATTTTGCTAAAACTGCCTAGAGGTGACTGTCACCCGAAGTTCAAGCTTTCTTAGACAATTTTTCAGCCAAATCAATGAACATACAACTATGATTCAACCATATAAACATACCAACTTCTATATACACAGTTGTCATGATACAAAACATGAAATCTTAGCAAAACTTCACTCCAAATTCAAAGTACAACTGATATATCCAACTTTATGCAATCAGTCAGTCCACGCTCATTAACTTAACAGATTTTCAAGCAAAGTTTCTTCACAAATCAAGTTTTATTTCTCCTGAAGGTAAACAATACAATATGTACAGGTCCTAGAAAGAGAAATAGGAGATATATACGGTACATTTAAATAAATTGCAGCAAGATTTCTTGGGAGAAAGGAACCAAACTTGCAGCCTCACTCCATTGGTTTCACAGGAGTTATTCAACTTTGTTGCTGCCAATTTTCTCACACGTAAGCCACCAATTTGCTACCAAAATCAGCGACAACATGCTATATATCATACTAAACAAGAAATACAACACTTATAGCATGAATTCCTAGTGGAAACTCCTCAAAAGGTTGAAATAAGAGGCTGTAAATTGAACTCATTTCCCCCTCGGTCAAAGCTGGAAATCTTCAGCATATAAATCAACTTCTAATGAGAGTACTTTCCCACCAAATTTCCATTTCCATGGCTAGAACTAACATGCATCAATCATCTTAGTGTGTCCTGAGAAAAATGGAAAGTTTGGCTAGCAAGTTTACCTTTGATCTTGCAAGAATGGAAGCTGCAATGAAACTTATAGCTTCAATTTCTTTCCCCACGGTTTTTTTTTTTGAGCTGGAAATTTCTGCCTTTCTTCCCAATTCTTGGCTAGGATGCATTATAATTTTCTTGTTTCTTGATTGATGTTCAAGATTGAAGAAAAAGAAAAGAGGACTGGTTGGAGTTTCTTTCGGTTTCTCTCAGCTCTTCTCTCTCGGCTGCAAGAAGGGGAAAGGAGCTCTCCCTCTCATTTCTCTCAGCTTTTCTCTCTTGGTTGGTGTAAAAAAAAAACAGAGGACCAGTCTTGTTTTTGTTTTCTTTCTCTCACTCGGTTGAACTGAAGAAAAGAAGCAAAAGGGAATAAATTTGGTCAACATTTGCATGCTACTTGGAATGGTCAAAAATGGAGGCAAGGAGCAAGATATTTTGTTGAGCAATATCTCTTTCTCTCGGTTGGAAATGAAGGCAAAACACACTAGTTTCTCTCAAAGCTCTCTACTTTCTTTGCTGGACAAATGAAAAAGACAGGTCTCTCAACTCTTCTCTCTCTCGGCCCCAACATGAAGTGAAGAAAGGGGAAAATGGCTCTCGGTCAAGTTGAATAGAAACAAGAAAGAATGGAAGCTGTTTTGACTCGGTCAAAATTTGTGGCTGGTCATGCAATGAGCAAACTACCCCTCTCTCGGTTCCTTGGTTAAATGAGCTGGAGTTTCTCTTGGTTCTTGGCCGGTGTTCATGTTTGAAAAAGGTAAGAGAGCTTCTCTATTTTTCCTTCTTCTTGTTTCTCGGCTTTAGGTAGCAGGGGAAGTGATTGGAACGCGGTTTGTTTTCCTTTCTTGTTTCCTCTCGGTCAACTAAGAGTGAAGGCACTATCTTTTATTCTTCCATTAGTTCCTCCACTAGATATTAGTAATGCTTGGACAGGTGTGAAGGCAAGTATCTTCCACGTTTGCTTTTCTTTCTTTTTTTTTTCTTTTTTTCCTAATACCACAACATATTCTAATACTAACGTTTTATGGTGTAAATGATATAATCCTCCTAAGATATATATCGACTCACTTATTTATTAAAGGGACAATTTAGACCTATAATCATTCAATAACAAAAAGAAAATAAAGTGGGACATGCACTAAATTTTAAATAACACATGAAAATTTTCTTACGTTCATCTAATAAATTCTCACACATTTAGCTTTAAGAAAAACTTATTAAACATGTACTTATTGAGCTATATAGTATATGTTACATGTCTAGTAATATTTGCAAATGACATCAATTACGATATGCATGCCATATATTTATTTAATTCATAAAATATTTCTACGCTATTCTAGGAATTTTCTAAATTCTCAATTTTATAGGAATTCAATTACGCATTTAATTTAACCGTTTATTCGTTATATATAATATTTCTAATATCAAAATAAATAAAATGAAATAAATTCAGGGCATACACATAAGTTTCTCGGGTTCTCACATTCTTCCCCCCTTAAAAGAATTTCGTCCTCGAAATTCCAACCTTTGTTCATACAAAACTTGATTCTACAGGGTTTTTCCTCAACTCCAAAGTAGGAAGAACAAATGTAGCAGTAAATGATAGCCACCAGCGTTTGCTTGATAACATATGAATTATTAGAGGAGATACCACGAAAGTAGGAAGAGTTTTAAATGCATTAACTCATTATTTTTCAAAAATAGAATAAAGACCTTAACGGAAAATTTTCACCTATTATGCGGTATTTCGAAGATATCATCTAAGAATATATCATCAATAGTTAGAAGTTTTAAAACAAAGAAAATTTTTCAAAATCCTTGGTTTAAAGGTTTTTACAGTTTTCAAGAAGCATTAGATGCATGTAGAAAAATGTAGGAATTAATTTCTGTATAAGTAGGATGGATTGAGCCTATTAAGATAGAGAAAGTAATGACATTTTAGAAGGTAAAAAGCAAAATTTTGTGTTCATTGAGAAAAAATGCCTAGAAGTTTTAAATTGTTAAATAATAAATATAGAAAACTAAATGAAGAAAAAGAACAATTAATAGAAAAACTTAAAGACTTTTCACTCCCATTACCTAAAGGCAAAAGATTATCGTCATCTATGGGCATTGATAAAAAAAAAATGAGTGCTGTGAATTTCTTTAAAAGGAAAGAAAATTTCCCAGACTAACCATCTCTTAGTCTCAAAGAAAAGCAAAAAAATGAGTGCCCGATTTTTCTTCTTTCAACAAAAGACTTTGGCACCATTTCCTTTCAAAATCCAAAAATTGATCATCTCCAAATCCCAAAATAGTGAGATAAAAAAGATGATCACAATTTACGAATTTCTGCTAGATATTTCAAATTCCAAAATTTATCCATAGGGAATGTTGTTCACTTATGAGTCATATTATGGGAATTATAGTGCTTGTCCTAGAACTAATGATCCTCTATGCCAGGTACTTCCATTATAAAAAGAAAACTATAAATACCATTTAACCTATATGTTTTATAGAGATTCACTATATTTAGACACATATCAACCATTAGAATTAAACATTGAAGGACAAAGCATGACTCTCACCCCAAAAAAGCTCTCGAAATATGTATTTGTATATATATTAGTCTTTTCAATCTGAAAAAAACATACCAATTTGGCAGAAAACTGGCATGTGTAGTCAATTCTTTATTCTTCCAAGATCGATATAAATATGTAGAACCCACTATATTTAGCAAAAGCTCCAAATTTATCTAATGAGCATGCTACTCGACTCAACATCATATTATCCTAGACGAGCAATGAAGCATGGCAATAATGCCCATCAAAAATTATTTGTAGATTTGCAAAAATTTCGCAATAGAAGAAAAAAATAGACCATTAGAGTGCATGACAGTTAGCATATGATGGAGTTGAAGAAAATGAAACCCGTACTCAGTGGCCCCCTATTGCATTTGGAGATGACTTTCAAAATTCTATTGTAGGTATAAATTTCCTGATATAAAATTCTTATAGACAACCCAATAAAAAGAATTGGTAGAATTTCACATAAAAGATATTTATTGGGAAATTCAAGATCTATACATGGATGAAGATTATAATGATGGGGAAGAAGATATTATAGGTGATGAGAGGATGCAAAATCTAGAAAACATGCTTGATATGTTAAAAAAAAGGCCAACAGCCAAAAACTATATTCAATACTCAATAATGTCTCTTTGGTCCATGGGTCAAAAAGAAACAAAAGTGTCAACAACGATATTTAACTGGAGCCATAGACAGCAATTGCCTGGATTGTGAAGTTCTGTGGGTCCCCCCTTAGGTTGAGTGAGACTCTCTTCGGTGTGCCCTGAATGTAGTTTAGCTTTTCCCCTGTTAAATGCCTAATGTCGAAAAAACTGGAGCCATAGACAGATTAGGTAAGATTCAGTATTAAATAACTTAGGTTCCACTCCAGCAGAAATAAAATATAGTTTCCAAAGTCCAAACAAGCATTCGACCCTCATAGGATGATAATTCTGACTCAGCCTGCAATACAATACCTTATGAGGAATAGAAATAAGCAATAATGCAATCAAGTAATAGGAATAATTGGCATCTATAAAAAAGATTTAGAAATGAGGATGGAAGGGCAAGTGATGGACAAAAGCATATACGTATTACATAAATCCACAAGAAGAATCACAAGAAGTTGATATAAGAGGCAAAGGAAAAAATTTTCTTCTATTACTCAAAAAAGGCCGCGACTACAAATACAACAACAACAGACAAAATTGATGCAAAGACTACTAACTCTTAAAAACTAAAATGGATGCAGAGGCTATAGTACTAATCCCTTATTGGTTGACCTCTACTACTAACATTATGGGTCGAATCCAATATGGCCAACTTTACTAATTCACACTGCAACTTACTATACTAACTAACATATTAATGACACACGGCCTCGACTAACATATAAACAAATTAATAAGCTTGGTTTATATTTTCCTATAGCAAGTCCTAAGAGAGATTGAGAGAATTAGAAGCGACTAGCAAGGCATCGGTATCATCATTGCATCAAGCGAACAAATAATCCAAGTTCTAACAAATAAAAGCTAAAGAGCCTTTTAGTCTCTTTTAGGCCAATCTAAAACATTTCTTAGATTGTAGAAATCATCAATACTCTAGTAATAGTATTTGTATCTTAATTAAAATTTTTACAAATTTCTAGCAAAAGTCAACATCATTTGTAAATTGTAAGTCCATTATTTTTCCATATATTATTATGTTTAATTTGAAACTTTATGTTATCTAATTAATAAAAAAGGGATGATCTAATAACAAAAATTTGTCCAAGGATTCTTCCATTAATCAGTTTATTTATATGTTAAAATTATATACTAATTTTGAAAGGCCTTTGAGTCCATTTTATACTCGAAAGTACCAATCCAAGAATCAAATTATTTAGGGAAAAAGAGACCTTTTGGATCTAAAAATGCCCAAAAAAATTAAGATATAATTTTAATATGAGAAAAGATAAATTTATTATTAGTGACTTAGAAAATCCTTATTTGAGTAGGAAAAGCCACTATTTTTATTAAGATTTCAAGGTTGTAGGCAAGGAATTTTAAAAGAGAAAAATAAAATAATAGAAATAATTAATAAAGTATCCTTTCTCAAATTTGATAGACTTCTTTCAATCTCTGCAGCTCTCCATATCTTGTACTTTAGCTCGAATCATTTATCATCCATAGTGTTGCTCTATTTTCACCATTGATGTTTAATGAATACAATGTGGAGATATTTTTGGTGAAGAAAAAACCTAATTGTTTTTGCCAAATTGCAAGTATTATTTTCGACATTAGAAATTGCTCTTTTGGACATATTTTTGGGTCAGGTCATTTGGTGAGTCATAAATAAGATCTGTCCTTTTGCCTTTAAGATTGATCATATTGGGCTCATGTGATTAATCTTAGCCAAAAAAAAGTCAAAATATGAGTTTGGAACCAAATTAGACAAATTTGCTATAATGAAGGATCCACAAATTGACATTTTGAATATGAGAAATATTAAAATTATTTTCATGATATGTGAGGGACACTTTGTATAATTTTTCCTATCGGATTCCTTGCGTGAAGATGAATGTTCTAGTGGTGGTCTAAAGCAAAATGGATAACCATTGGGCTTTGGTTCAACGTGGCCAAGGCCAGAGAGAGCCTCTTTAAACTCTGCCCTGCAGTAGATCAAGTGTTCAAACCCTGC